GTGTTTAAAGCAACTCATTTGAATTTTCAATTTGTTCCTTTCTTCTTTCCTGAGGTATCTTCTACCTTGCCTCTCTCTAAACGTATCTTTTCTCCAGTCTTGGAAGCTCCCCTTCCTCAAACCCACATGTTCCTTTCTTCCACCCTCTGTTGCCAAAGGAAGCTCCTTTTAGTGGTTAAACCCAATTATCAGGATGACTAAAGCAGTTTCTTACAGCTTGTTTTGCTGCCAAAAACTTGATTATAGTCAATGTAGCTTAGGTCAGGTCTTTGTGGCACCTCTTAGCTTGCCATAAGAGTTCCTGTACATGGCTCTTTACCTTAGCCAAAACAGCTAAGAAGCAGCTCTACTCCTTATTCCTGACCTATGTCCCTTTTCAGTCCTGTAATTCCTAGGTACACAAGAAAGAACCAGAGTTGACTAAACCAAAGCCTTGCCTTTTAAAGTCTCCATTGTCACACACAGGGAGGTGGAACATGTGGCATACAGTGAAAAGCCTCCCCTCTGCATTCCTGACTTCTCTGCCAATACCTTATGTGACCCTAAGCAGAGATATTTAAATTTACTGGTCATTTCATATCACTTTTGGCACTTTTGTGCCAGGTGTAACTCATCTATAAGACTAGTACTATAGCTAACATTTTCAAAGGAGTTTAAGAAACTTAATGCAAATACTCCACTCTTAAGTACTAGTACTAATTTCAATCTAACTTCAGTACACTGCTTTGCAATTGCCAACTTCAAATATAATTCTATTATTATAATTTATTCTTCATGCAGATAGTCAGGAAATGACATTCTTTTTATCCAGTAAGCATCAGTCTTTCACAGTGAACTTATCTATAAGGTGCTCAGAATTACTAAAACATATATATCATAGAATCATAGAAACATAGAATGCATTGGGTTGGAAAAGACCTACAAAGGTCATCTAGTCCAGCCTCACTACAATAAGTGGGGACATCTCCAAATAGACCAGATTTCTTAGAGCCAAGTCAAAAGTATTCTTTGTCATAAGATGTGTACCTTTAGCTACTGGGGGGAAAAAAAAAAAGCTAAGATATTTCAAGATCTCAAGACAAACACCCAAATACTGAAGAAAACAGACTTCTAAAAAAGCTTCAGTTACAAAAATTAATATTAATTTATCTACTTATATTATTTATTGATTTAAAAATAGGGTTATAGTGTATGTTTCTTTGCAACATACTCTGCCGAATTTCTTAGGCTGTACAAGGCCTGAAGTATTCGTGAGTGTCTCTGTTATATTTCCACACACTGTTATTCATGTTGTTGGACTGCCTACATTATCTGTTTCTACTTACCTCAAGCAGCCTACCTTAGGGACTTGGAGCTGTTGCTTTGAAGGTATCCCCTTCTCTCCACTGCATATGCAAGTGTGGTGTCCTATCTTTGATCCTTGAATTGTACCTCAGATGAGTACAATGAGTACAAAATAAGTAAATCAGCACAAAAATATCTATTATGATGAGTCTTTATTGATTCTAACATGATTTTTCAGTTATTCTGAAAAAATTAAAATAACTGAGTTCCAGGCATACGTGCCTTTACCAAAGGGTTGTTTCATTGCTGGATTGATATCTATGCTACTTATTGAATTAAGTGACTTTCCTTCAGTGTGGATTAAGATAGTCTGGAAGTTTTGACTAAGATAAAAGATTTAATCAGAGGTTTTGCCAAAGTGCCCAGCAAGTAAACAAGTGAACAAAACAGCAAGGAAAGGAAAATCTGGGGCTTTGGAGACTGAAGCTGATAAATTAAAACTGTCTCCAGTGGGTGAAACTCTTGTACATGGGTGTGTATGTGCAAGGCAGGAGTAGAATTTTCTGGTTTTAGAAATTATGGAACATAATGGAAGAAATTAAGAAGCATACAGTTCAGGAGGAACTTACAGAATCTCCACTAAAAAATGTTATGATAGGAGTAATGAAGTATAAAAAGCAGAAAGATAACATCTCAAAATTTTTTCTCCCAAAGAAAACAGGGAAATCCAGCAGAACATGCATAGATAGGTCATTTATTGGTGATGCCTACTTCTCTCTTTATTTTTAATGGCTGCTGATGCCCACAGGGCGGGGACTCGGGTGTACAGGCAATGTGACTGTAAGGAGCATGACAAAAGGTGAGATGATCACAGATTACATTGTCCAACAATAGCAAAGTTACTCCATTGTGATTTAGCAAACTGATATTTCACTTCCTTGTGGTATACTCTACTGTTGTGTGGCACCATCTAAAATCAAGTTTCTGTTCTATATGTTCTGCTCATACTACTTTAAAATCACCTTTGCTTAAAAACATAATTCCTATATGTTTTTCACCCAGTTACGCTACTTAGGAAAGCAAGAAAGGATTGCCAGAATTTTGTTCTAATGTGCAGCATATGAAATACACAATATTTAGTCAGTGAACTGCATGATGCAGAAGTGATAACTGCCTCTGCTAGCCAGTTGCAGCATTAGCAGTAGACACATACCTTACCCTTACGTCTTCCTTCACAGGATCCTAGACTGTTTGGAATATTTTGACATTGTCCAAGGGGTGGAAAAGGGACAGATTTCAGTGTAAAAAGAAAGACTTTGCTTCCTGATAGCACCAACTTGCATCTACCTGATAGACAGTCAATGTGTCTTTGTCCATGTAAGTGTTGTAGATGGGCATGAATTATGTCTGGAAATCTCATTCCTCAGTAAAATGCCACTAAGCTGTGCTTTCAGAAAAAATAATTTTTAATTATTTTTAACAGCTACATTTATTTTCAGTCTGTTATATGAATGAGATGACTCAGATATTAGAGTGATGAATGCTACAGAAAAAACCTTACCCATGAGATATCTAATAAAAAATCAAGTTACATACCAAAGTTAGTATATACCATAGCACATTTGGTTTGAATCGAGTTTTGTGAATGAGCAAGATGCTGCCTTTCACCTTGTTTTATATCACAAATACTGTAGCTGAAATAAAGCAATTTGTTTTAATTTCCCTTTAGGTGTGCTAGTGCAGTGTTACATTTTAAGAGATGCTCCCTTGATCAGACATCCCCGGTATCCTGTGCTCTGGGGCACTCTCCATCATAAAGCAGACAACGCTGGCATTGGGAATTCACCAAAATATGAAACTGTTCAGTCATTCAAATATAAAGGACTTGTCAGGAACAGCAAGACTGGGAATTTAATGTTTAATAAGTAAATATTTCTGATTGACATATTACCCAGTCCAGAGGGCAACCCACTGTGCTTGGTGCTATGGAAGGAAGTGTCCTTGCACCAAATTATGTGACAAAATTACTTCAGACTATTCTGGATTATGAAAAATCAACAGAGCAGTGGTAGCCTCCTTGCTGCAGCCCGGTTTGAGGAGTTTAGTATAATATCTGGAATAGTACTTAGCTCTCAGGTGTGGGTATAATCATACGCCTGGTGCCTGGAGCTGGGTAAGCACCATGCTGGAACAGGGCTGCCATGCTGCTGCCCCTCAACTTCAAAGAGGGTCATTTCTTCATCTCTGGATACCAGAAGTATTTCCATTTAAACCCCTGTCAGCCTGCACAGAATAAACAGAAATTTGCTACTAAGGTTTTTGTAAATAAGTCTTGCAATTTGTTATGTACCACAGGCCATTCTAATTTTAAAAGGTATTAACAGTATGTTTCATGTTATGTGAAATCAAGGTGTTGAGTTTTTCTGCAAGCAATAGAAAGCTCTGTTGATTTTGACATTTCTCTCTAAACACTGTAAGGACTTTGTCCAATACATATTATGGAAGCTTTAATCTATGTTCCTTGTTGCTAATCTGGAAAGCAAAACTTCTTAATTGCTCCTCTTCTCAGTTGCAAATATATAGGTTTAGAAAACAAAGAACCCACTCTTTCATCTTAATATTGTGACAGTATACATATCATATATATATATAAAATATTGATGTTATAACATAGCAACATCGTATTTTATTTTACTTGTGATTTTGCATTTTAAGCCCCTTGCTGAAAAAAATGCAACTGCATGCAGAGAGTCTTCTATAATAAATAAGAAGTGTCCTTGCTGTTGAAGACAAATAGCAAAAAATTATGTGCACAGGACATGCACTGGAGCACACTTCCCTGTGACTTCCACTAAGAAAAATAAGATTAGACTTGCTTCAAGAGATTTTGACACTGAATTCTTTAATGTCATAGAAAATGCCAAGATAGGAGGTCTTTTTAAAAGATCAAATAAAACCCTGCTGGACTGTGAACTGCGCGTGAGCTAGCAGGGTTTTAGATGCACTTCTAACCTGCTTCTAACTCTTACCATGAATATATAGCAGGGTTCAGAAACAATCTGTTGTAAATTCTTCAGCCAATTAGCTGAGTGAGTTACCACCGTTTATAATGCGCAGAACGTGGAGGCTCTTTTGCAGTTGCGCCAAGTTGGATTGTTAATAACAGGAAGCTAGCACTTCTCAGTACAGTGGATCAGCTACATGTGAAAATAAATGTAAAAAACCTGGAGAGGAATGGCAGCAGACTGAGATTAGCCTTTATTTAATTTAGCATTTGGGGGTCCAACACACAAATGAGCGTTTTAGTAGGCTTCATGGTGGAAGTTGCTGTCATTTGTAAAATATTCTGGCCAATTAGCTAATAGTGTGCTTGGATTTCTCCTGTTTTGATACAGTAATACTAAGTACATTGTGAAGCCCAATTATACAAATCATCCCCATATGCCATACCAGTCTTTCTTTATGAACTGTGTTTATAAATCCTGTGTGAGGAAATGTGTACTTCAGCAATTTAGACCATGTGTAAAAACATAGCCAATAGAATTGTCAAGAAAACAAGTTCCAGCGTAGGAAATCCTAATGTGTTCCGCTAAAATAACACGAGTGTGTTGTGTTGTGTGAGTTTTCTGATTAAACACATATTACTCTATAGTGTTTAACCTGCACAGGTCCTTCCGTTTCCCTTTGTATTCTTTTTTTCTCTCTATTTTTTGTAGGATCCAAATTTGGAGTTTTTGAGGAAATTTGGAATTGGGCTAGTCTCAGGAACAATAGCCTCAATTATTAACATTCCTTTTGATGTTGCAAAAAGTAGGATTCAAGGACCACAGCCAGTTCCTGGAGAGATCAAGTACAGAACCTGTTTTAAAACTATGGCAACAGTCTACAAAGAGGAAGGGTAAAACATTCTTATTTTAATAAATGTCCAGGCCTCTGTTTTAGTTCATATGGGTCCATAAAACCATGTTGTTATATTTCAGATTTGATGAGGGCCATTAAGCCACCCTGCACTCACATATCAAAAAAGCACAATGTAGCATTTTGAAAATGTATTTAAGAATTATAATATAGGAGATATCCTCCTACTCCATGTGAACTTTAACAAAAGACTTACCAGTTAATTGCTGGGTTGTCAAAATTGATGTTATGTTCCACAAAATATCCTTCGTATATTCTCATGTAATTTTTTCAATGCTTCATTTTGTAAAAGGAAAACATCAACAGAAAACAGAGTATTTCCCAATTTAAACTAATAAAATTTTACAGACCTCTGTACCTTTAAAATTACTGTTGAAATCATTAAATTGGGGGCAGATCCTCATGACAATAACGTTCTCCAACTTTTAAAAATATTTCTCAAGTGGAGACTGAGTTGTAGCTTTGATATTCAATTATGGCAGTCATTTTGTCCATGTATGCAGCTGTTGTTAACAGACTTTTCTTGAAAGTAAAACCATCTCACTGATTAAAGTCATACTTCTGATTGGCTAGGCTCACAACGTAGCTTTTGTGACTGAACATTGATTAACTTTTTCTCTTCATCTGATCTGCCTCTGTAAAATGTTAAAATCCAGATACAGCCTGCTATTGAACATGTGTAATTTCAAATAATTGCTTCTAAGTGCTCTGCCAGCATTTTAACAAACACATGCTAAAATTCCATTCTTCTCTTCGAGTAAGAATATTGTTTGAAATGTTTTGTTTGTTTTTCTTCTGCTACAGATTTCTGGCTCTGTACAAAGGCTTGGTTCCCAAGATCATGAGGCTTGGTCCAGGTAATTTTCCCTCTGTCAATACTATATTGCTTTTGTTCTTGGTTTCTCTTCCTGTTTTCCAGTTTCTTGACAAAATGTAGCAGGCTTCAGTCAAATAAATGAAACAGTGTACCAGAAACCATCAAAATTTCTTTAATGTTTGAATGATTGCTTTTGGTAGTAGCATCATCTAATAGTATCATAGTTGGATTTGGCTAAGTGTATGTCTAAAAAAAATCATTTACATGTACACAGGAGATGCTTGCATATCCAAGTAACTGCTGGTTTGTACAATTACTCCATTTGTGAGCAAGCCAAATGCATCCATGCAAGTGCCAGAACTGTAAAACCTTTGGAAGTGTTTCTTTAAGCTTGTCCTGTTCCCTCTAATGTGATTCTTTGTTTTCACTATGAATATTCTGTACCAATGTAAAATGACCTGAAAATGCAGGTTAGAGTCTCTCCAGTATAAATTCTCTCAACTAGTCAAGGCATAGCCCAAGCATATCAAATTCCAGTTACTTTGTTCTCCTGTGCTCTGCAGGGTCTGTGAGGAACTGACCCAAAAAAACTGATAGTATGAGCCGGGAAGAGACTTGCATGACCCTAGAGGGCTAAAAGGATAAGGATATCTTAAAACTGGGTTTGTTGATTGACCCCTTCTCACTAGCTTCTATTCCAGGTGCGGGAGCACAGTGCTTGAGAGCTAGGTCTTCTTTGGCTTTTAGACTGCTTTTCCCTGGCTGATTTTGATTAATCATGAAAGCAGAGTACTGAGCCCTTAGACTTTGCCAGCCTGCAGAGACAGTCCGTGTCAAAAAGAGCAGAAGCCTTACTTTGAACAGCATCCCATTCCCATGAAATTCTATTTCCAATTGTGCAAGGTGGTTTAATAGGCAAGAACACACACGGTTAAAAGCAAGTAGGTAGAGTCTGTTTTGCAGTATAAAGAAGGCATTAGGTTTGTCTGTAAATGTTTGCCTTTCAAATCTGTCTGGGTAAGTGCTAGACCATGCCTGGTTATTGTGCAGGTTAAAGGAAGAAGGTGGGGACAGGAAATGGGGCAGCTAGGCATAGCTCTGGAGCTAAAAGCTGTTTCCCTCATACTCCAAAGGCAGTAGATACATACAGGACAAAGAGAAGGCAGGGTTTTTCTTCCCCAGTAATCATTAGCACAGCAGATTTTGGAATAAAATTGTCTGTCTTACAAATGACTGTGCATCCTGACTCAGATCGAGCAAGTCAGTTAGGCTTCTACCTTGTTATAAACACTTTTGTAGCCCATTGACTAATATACAGATTTGGCTTTCCAATGAAACAATAATGCAATCTTTATTGTGACTGGAAAGGTAACTCCTTTAAACATGTGAATGCTTTCAGGAAAAGAGATACCCAAACAGATCACGCAGTATGAGAACTGGAATTGGCCTTAATTTGAGCTAACAACACATATGAGACATTGTATCTATAATTTGTTTGTCGATCCAAGTGTTTTGCAAACTTCTGCTCTGTCCAGCTGTCTGTGAGCTGCTATCCACAGAGGATTTAAAGTCTGATGATGATTCGGTAGGATAAATATCATGAGAAAATTCATTTGGTAGCTCTGAGTGGCTGGCTGGCTGAGCCTATCCCATCTTCCTAGAAATGTCAGCTCAGTACAGCAGAAGACATGTTTGTTGGAGATGCCACTTTAACCAGCTACCTGAGCCAACAGGCAAAGGCAAAGAAAAGAAAAGATTTATGCCCCAGCACTGGCACCCACAAGTAGCACTTTGTACCACACTTTTATTCCTGCAGCCTGGAATTTGATTCTCATTCCTTATCTTCACCGGCTAGAAGCTTCTCTATATACTATATATGCTCTATAGGTACACACCCAGACCTTAGGACTTCTTCAACCAAGAAAAAAAGGAGGGTAATTGCAGTAGGTGACCCCCTTCTGAGGGAAAAGAGGGCCCCATTTGTTAACCTGACCCATCCTACAGTGAAGTCTTCTACCTCCCAGGGGCTCGGGTTTGAGATGTTAAAAGGAAGATCTCTGGTCAGATGCAGCCCTCTGATGATCACCCCCTGTTGGTTATCCAGGTTGGCAATTACAAGGTTGCAGATAGAAGTCCAAGAGCAATTAAAAAGGACTTCAAGGCATTGGGGCAACTGGTTGAAGGCTTGGATGTGCAGGTGGTGTTTACATCAATCCCTCAAGTGGTAGGGAAAAATACTGAAAGAGGGAGAAAAACACACCTGATTGATGCATGGCTCAGAGGCTGGTGTCACCATTGGAATTTTGGGTTCTTTGATCATGGGGAAGTTTATAGGGCACCAGGTCTGCTGGCAAAATTCTATTTCCAATTGTGCAAGGTGGTTTAATAGGCAAGAACACACACGGTTAAAAGCAAGTAGGTAGAGTCTGTTTTGCAGTATAAAGAAGGCATTAGGTTTGTCTGTAAATGTTTGCCTTTCAAATCTGTCTGGGTAAGTGCTAGACCATGCCTGGTTATTGTGCAGGTTAAAGGAAGAAGGTGGGGACAGGAAATGGGGCAGCTAGGCATAGCTCTGGAGCTAAAAGCTGTTTCCCTCATACTCCAAAGGCAGTAGATACATACAGGACAAAGAGAAGGCAGGGTTTTTCTTCCCCAGTAATCATTAGCACAGCAGATTTTGGAATAAAATTGTCTGTCTTACAAATGACTGTGCATCCTGACTCAGATCGAGCAAGTCAGTTAGGCTTCTACCTTGTTATAAACACTTTTGTAGCCCATTGACTAATATACAGATTTGGCTTTCCAATGAAACAATAATGCAATCTTTATTGTGACTGGAAAGGTAACTCCTTTAAACATGTGAATGCTTTCAGGAAAAGAGATACCCAAACAGATCACGCAGTATGAGAACTGGAATTGGCCTTAATTTGAGCTAACAACACATATGAGACATTGTATCTATAATTTGTTTGTCGATCCAAGTGTTTTGCAAACTTCTGCTCTGTCCAGCTGTCTGTGAGCTGCTATCCACAGAGGATTTAAAGTCTGATGATGATTCGGTAGGATAAATATCATGAGAAAATTCATTTGGTAGCTCTGAGTGGCTGGCTGGCTGAGCCTATCCCATCTTCCTAGAAATGTCAGCTCAGTACAGCAGAAGACATGTTTGTTGGAGATGCCACTTTAACCAGCTACCTGAGCCAACAGGCAAAGGCAAAGAAAAGAAAAGATTTATGCCCCAGCACTGGCACCCACAAGTAGCACTTTGTACCACACTTTTATTCCTGCAGCCTGGAATTTGATTCTCATTCCTTATCTTCACCGGCTAGAAGCTTCTCTATATACTATATATGCTCTATAGGTACACACCCAGACCTTAGGACTTCTTCAACCAAGAAAAAAAGGAGGGTAATTGCAGTAGGTGACCCCCTTCTGAGGGAAAAGAGGGCCCCATTTGTTAACCTGACCCATCCTACAGTGAAGTCTTCTACCTCCCAGGGGCTCGGGTTTGAGATGTTAAAAGGAAGATCTCTGGTCAGATGCAGCCCTCTGATGATCACCCCCTGTTGGTTATCCAGGTTGGCAATTACAAGGTTGCAGATAGAAGTCCAAGAGCAATTAAAAAGGACTTCAAGGCATTGGGGCAACTGGTTGAAGGCTTGGATGTGCAGGTGGTGTTTACATCAATCCCTCAAGTGGTAGGGAAAAATACTGAAAGAGGGAGAAAAACACACCTGATTGATGCATGGCTCAGAGGCTGGTGTCACCATTGGAATTTTGGGTTCTTTGATCATGGGGAAGTTTATAGGGCACCAGGTCTGCTGGCAACAGATGGAGTACATCTGTCTCAAAGGGGGAAAAGGATCCTTGCCCATGATTTGGTGGAGCTCATTGAGAGGGCTTTAAACTAGGCTCAAAGGGGGGAGGGGATAAAACCAGGCTCGCTAGAGATGAACCTAAGGACAGTCTTCAGTCTGCCATCTCAATTGAGGTGGAAGATAGTGATACATGTGGCAACAAAAGCACAGGGATCACTAATAGGTTAGTAACCATAAAAGTGTCTGGGAATGATCAGATAGCAATTAGGACTTCTCTCCCCAAAATGGCAGCAGGATTGTTAGCTCAGCTGAAGTGCCATCTACACCAATGCACACAGCATGAGCAATAAACAGGAGCAGCTGGAGCCCATTGTGCAGCAAGAAAACTATGGTATAGTTGCTGTCACGGAAACCCGGGATATGGATTAGTGCTGGACTTGGTAGAGTAGTGGTTAGACTAGATGATCTTAAAGGTCTTTTCCAACCTAAGTGATTCTATGACACCTTCTGAATTGTTCCCTTCTTTAGCTCACTCAGTAATTACAGCCTGGTTATAGAAGGGCTTTAGTCTGGTGTCCCAAACAGTAAAGATACTTTATGGTGTTCAGGCTAGGGTTTTATAGTGTACCAGTTCTAGCAGACAATGCCACTTCATCAGATCAGAACTTTGCCTGCGGATTCATAGCCAGGAACAGACACAGGAAGGTTATACTCATTTCAATACTGTGATCTTTTACAATAGACATGGTGAATAACCAGCTGAAAACCTTTCTTGAATCTTACCCGGGAGCCTTTTAATCACTCTGATGATGAATTTTTGTCATTCTACCACTCAAGTTGCTCTTTCATGGCCAAATCTAAGTCTAAACAAGCAAAAAAATATGCACATATTCAGATTAAAAGCTTCACTTCTAAAAGAAAAAATACTAAAGAAAAATATTAATATTGAAAAAATGTTAGGGAAAATCACACTGAGGGGGGTTTTAATTTAATATACAAGCTTTCCACATCAACTTTATGGTCTTGTATTAACTACAATTAAGTAAAATTTGTATTTAAGAGTTTGTGAATTTTTAAGGAATTGGTGAATTAGTAGAATTATATGTTTTGTAAATAAGGCTTTTCATATCCTAGTTTAGATTGCACACTGAAAATTCTCTACAAAACCTTGGAAAAAGTGAATTTTGCATGTAGTAAAATAATATCTTTTCTTCCAGGTGGTGCAGTGATGCTTTTGGTTTACGAATACGTTTATGCATGGCTTCAGGACACAGTTGATCGCAAATAGTGCCTCTGAAATAATAATGTAAAAGTGAATCTCACCCTTTATGGTGTTGAATGCCCTCAGATTACACTGATGTTAGTACAGTTCAATACAAATTAGGTCTTCCCGTCCTGATCCAGGAAAACATTTCTTCACATGCTTTTATGTAAGTGCATAAATACTCTGTAAGTGCAATAAATAAAAAGTGCACAGTTGATATTTGTATTGGTTTACTGGATCAAGAGAAAATATAAAGGAGACATAGGAACAAGTCAGTTTTTCAAGGACAAACTGGAAATTCTGGACACTGAATTATGCTAGATAGCCAATACACTTTAAAAAAAAATCAGATTAAATGCTAAGATAATGAAGTACAGAGATTTTTTAAGAAAAAAAAAAAGTATAATCCTGTGGGGCCAGATCCTAAGCTAGTGTCAGCTGACAGATCCATTGACTCCAGGTTAAGAACATGATCCCTGCTCTGCAAAGTCTTAAGTCAATCTTGGGTCCAGTTTCAATTCAGTCCAGTACAATTTCACAATTGACAGAATAAGTTGTTGGTGTTTTAAGTTAGGATCGAAAAAGGACAGTAAAACAAGCTGCAACCTTAAAAACACACGTACTGTTAAATGTCCTGCTTGTTCTTAGCCATATTTATAGTATTAATCTTGCTCAGATCACAGGAGATTCTGAAAATAATTAGCCTGAACCATTACATAAAAGGGCAAAACAACTGTGGGAATCAGAGAAGAAATGAGTAAATAAATTAACAAAAAATACAGTTTCAGTCATATGAGATTTTACTGTGGACTTTTTTATTCACCTTCATATACTATTACTTAAAGACTTATCCTGTGCTTAAAATGCTCAGTGCACTTTGACTGCTCCTTTAGCTTTCCATTCCACCGGGGGATTGGAAAAACAATGTTCTAGACTGAGAGCACATATGCAGTCATAATTAGCTAGCTAGACATGAATGTACCTTTCGGTAGATTAAAAAATGTTGCTCTAAAGCTAATACTGTTGCAATTCCCAGCAATTTATATTGTAAATATAAATATTTCAGTGATGTACTCATGCCTTTACTGGCCATTCTAACTAGCTCTGTGAAATATGACAACTTCTGCTGTGCTAATTGAAGACACAGTTTCAGTTAATGCAGTTGTGCCACTCCACGGTTTTTTTCAGGAACTCTTTACATTACACATTATACTGTTATTAAAATGTTCCCATTAACTAAACTTGGTTTGTTGTCAAATGAATGCATATCTTGCAATTGCTGGAAGTTTCTGCATCACCCCGTACTACATTCACACTGTTAACTTTAAATGCTCTTCCTCTTAAGGAGGATTTCACAATAATCCTAAAGAAATATCTTTCCAGAGCATTACTTGAAAATGACACTTCACATGTGAAGTCTCATCTCACAAGTGTTTTAATGCATTAGAAAAGCAACCAAAAGCAACAGAAAGCTAAAAATAGAAATGCACTCTCAGCGCGTTCAAGGATGCCTGTGCTGACATGCTCAGTAAACATCTGTCTAAATTTGACAACAGTGACTTCTCATACCTATGCTACTTCATAGCTAAAATCAATAAATTAGCTCCGTTACAGTTTATAGTTTTTATGCAAATGTTCCTTGTTGTTGCATCTTATTATCAGTACTTGGCCAAAGAGAAAACACTACTAAGATAATTTTGAAAATTAAAAGCAAAATGCTTTATAATTAGTCTTTTATTAATTTAGAGCATTCAAAATATAAAAATAAAAGGCTTTAAATATACTGTAGGTACATATATAGCCTTTGGTTTTACATCCTTTCCAACATGATTTTTTTTCAGTTAGTAGCTCATCCTGATCTTTGATAACAAGAGAACCATTAGAAAGCAGAAAACACAGCATTGTTTTAAAAAACAAACCTATGAACATACTTGCCCAATACCCCATCACTCCTGGTGTAAGATGGGATCTGAATCAAACTTATGCTGGAGGTCGTCTGTGCCAGGCCCATGCAAACACAGTCATAGAACAGAATATTAAGCTTCACGGATTCCTTTGAAAGCACCTGATGCTCTGAGGATGAGGTGTAGGGATTTCAGATTAAAAACTGAAATTTCGCAATCACATATACTGTACATTTCCCAAATTAATCCATTCACCTCAGTGGGTTCACTCTGTATTTATATGCTTGTACTTGACACCAGCAGCTAATGCTTTTTTTTTATTATTTTTTTTTTTTTTAAATCCTTTTTTCTCCTTTGTTTCTTGTAAAGTGGCCTAAAGTTGTGTGGCTAGTAAGCTAACGTGGTCATGAGTATAGGCAGGGAAAGAAGTCTTTCATCAAGGGAGTACAGAATCATGGAATCATCATAGGCTTACATTTAAAAAAAGTTATGAAAAATTACACCCAAAAAATCCATCCCAGGCAGTTCACCAAGGGCCAAGGTCAGGTACCTTTGCTTGCTCTGAGCTACGATTTCTGCACACAGCCCCACTGCCTCTTCGCTCAGGGGCGAGGCGCTGCACACAGGTGGGCAAAGAGCTGGACCTAAACAAACACAAAGTGAAAAAGGTTTGTGATGGTGCATTCCCACCTGAGGAATAGTGAACATCATGTCTTGTCCTTGCTTTGTAAGTTATCCTGATTTCGCTGAAGACAAGATAATGCAAACAACCGGTACAAGCTCAGGATCCATATCTTGAAGCATATCCCAAAACGCACTAAGGCCTCATGGAAATGTCAGAAAAATTACTTTTATTCCAGAAATAACCTCCAGTTGCTTGGAAAAATTTTGAAAACTTTTAACATAGGCACACTTTGTTAAAAACTTGTGTATTCTTGGAGATCAAAGAGCTGTGCTACAGAAGGCTCCTCTTCTTTTTTTTCATGGTTGTTGTTTTGTTTTCCTTTGGTGTACCTCACTTGTGCTCTATGGCTAACAACAGGTAGATTTAATAATTCCCTAATCCGGTAAAACAGCAAGGGTGAAAGATAAAATTCTGTTGCCAACTTAATCATTTATTGACTCATGATCTTTTTCTTAACTTTTTTTCCACCCTCCATTTTATTTTTAGTGAAAAGCTTGTCTAAAATTAAGCCAATTTCTTTTTCATGGTGATGAGGCTCATCTTATTTCAGCTACAGCTGCATAAAGGCAGGATAACATTAGTCATGTCACTACCAGTGTGGAAATGCACTTATGTGCATTTAGTACCTTTAGTGCTTTCAAAGAAACATTATTTTTTAAGTGTTCTACAGAATAAGGGTTTCAGCATCTCGTTAAAGCTAAACAGCTGTTGAATGCCTTTGAGGCTGAAGGATATGGGATCACATCCGGTATCAGGTCTTTCTTTCCTTAGGGCCATAATACAATACCTGGGTTATTTATAGAAATACAGTTGTGTTAACTGGTTTTTAATGCAAAAAGCAAAGGTTGCAGCAGCCAGTTGAGTCCATTTATATTTCAGTGGATATGCTGTACATAACATATGTACCGGCTACTTAGATTATTACGAACATTTACCCACAGCTGCCTCGGTGACGAAAGCTGGAAATCCACAAAGAGAGAACTTTATTTTAAGAGGGGACTGTATTTGACCTTCCCACCAAATGAATGTTTATTACAGTATGCAGCTAGAGCAATACTTGAAGAATGAAGTTTTCTCCTCTGCTTTAACCGTCTCTAGTGTAATTTAAGTTATTGCACAGCATTACTAAAAATACACAATATATTAATATTCTATGAAGGATATCAAATGTCACACCAAGCTTAATTTTTTTTTTTCCACGTTCATGTTCTGAACATACCTACAGCATGTGGAAAGCATTCTGGAATAACAGTCAGAACTTTATTATTGCCCAAGGAAAACAGGTAAATTTTCAAAGATCAGAACGTCAGCTCTCTTGGGATTAAAGTTTAAAGCAAAATAACTGGCATGGAGCACTTGCCACTGGATACAGAATGCAGAAAGGGATTTTGTTAATATTAAATAATATCTGTGTTTGTAGCACCACCACCAGTATACCTATAAGGGAAAAAAATGCTTCAGAACAACAATGTAAACTTTACCAAGAGCCATATTTTACATTCATTAAAGCAGAAATTAAAGACAACTTCTTAAAAAAATTACAACATAATCTTGGGGCCAAAAATGCTGGACACAAGTGAGCTGACAATTATGGTACAATTATGTTTCTCAGTGAGTTTGTTGACTGACATATCTTTGTAAGCATCGCTACACAGTTTGCACACTCATGGCATTTTCCTCTACCTGTTCAGGTATTTTCCACCCATTTCTGTTTGCACACTTAACACAAATGTAGTGTTTCATGAATCTGGGAGGCTGGGTATAGCTGGGGAGAGTTATTCATGCGATGTTGGTGCCCCCAGTGTAGGCACAAAAACAGATGGAAAAAAAACTTACCTAAACCTCAGCACCTCAGGCTATCAGCCCACCACACAAAGACACAGAAAATAGCTAGAAAGTCACCTTTTTTAACTCCAAGGAAAAAAAAAATGAAAATAAATGTATGGGAAGGTGAAAACAAATGTTGTCAAAAGCCTATATTTACAAATGGATCAAAACACAAAGGTGTTATTACTGCCTGACAATGGCGACATGCCAGAAGAATCTGAGACCTGCCTATTGTCTTGGTTCTATATTTGATTACCAAAACCCAACAAAACAACCAAAAAGTGATCTCTTGGTAGCAGTGGATTGTATAACCTCGTTGATTAAAGGATTGTTCTCTAGGCAACTGACAAACACCTCCCATTTAGCCGCTTTTGCTGATTCGAGTCATAGCAGAATTTTCTGTGGTGATTTTTATTGATTTTTACAGAAGTGATAATAAAAATTGCACATTTAGGAAGTCTGTGATGATTAAGAATAAATATGTGTGGTTTGACCAGGAGTGGGACAAGGCTCCACAAGCCCTTTGAGGGATGTAAGGTCTTTAAGAGTGCAACACCACACTTCTCTCAGTTTCTGATGTTGTCTTCAGCTCTTTCAATCCCAAAAGCCTTACAGGAGACAAGTCACGAGGAGAAGTGCCGGGTATCGCCAGCACGAATGGAGCAGTCTGTGAGTCAGGCTCAGGAGACAACCAGCCAGCGGGGTCATGTTGGTCCTGGACCAGCTCCTGCATCAGAGAGCAGAGGCCGTGACTGAGTGGCTGCCCTCTCTGGACGTCTGCATGCCCTTGAATGCCAGTGAGGTGGGGATGTCACAGCTGTGAGGGGACAGTGGGGTGCCTCCAGCATGCTGCCAGCCATGGCTGGCCATGTAGCCGGATGAAGCAGCACTGTACGTCATGTAAGGTGACACTTGGGATGGTGTGGCGTAGGGAGGCATGGCTGGTGCTGACACGAAACTGCTGACAGCTGGGAGGCCATTGGGTGCCTGGAAGGAAAGGAAAAAAAAACATTTATAAGACAGTAAGACCCAGCGGATCTGTGATAAAAGAAGCTGCCCTCAGATGTTTTGTACAAGAACCAGGGCCAGTGGAGACACCCAGAGAGCCATCCATAATCACTTCCCTGTGTTGCAGAGGCACAGCGGCCCCCTTGTGTTTTGCTTTTAAGACCAGCTAGTCCACATCAGCCCTGCACACCTCTCCCAGGAGTCTGTCCTAGAGAGGAACCAACAGCAGGTGTTTACAGAACACATACAGAGAGCAGGGCAGGAATCACCAAGCCCCCCCAACACATCCACACTCCTTCCCACAAGCTGTGGATCAGGGACTCCCTACACACCTAATAATTACATTTGAGGGCTGTATCAGGAGGTATGTGTGATTGGTTTGTCCCACCTCTTTCACTGAGCACCTTCATCTTGGCAATGAGTCCCATGAGCTGGAGCAGGTGGGCTGTAACATTTACTCACCTTCTCGTAATTTCACATGGAGTGTTGGCCACCATTTGCTGAGACCTGGCAAGTTTAAGCTGGGTGTGCAGTGGCACGACCATACCAGTGGCAGGAGAGATGGAGCCAACCCAGCACTTCACAGCCCCCAACCCCAAAGAAGGGTGGGCTCAGCCCTGAGCTGCAGCAGGCAGGTGCAGGCACAGATCTCAACACAACACTCCCCAGAGCAGAGAGTTAACAAGCTGCGTGTGGGGTGGGAACATCTTAAACTCTTTTGTAACTGTTTGCTCAAAGCATGAGTCAGAACTATAGTAGCATTATTGATGATGATGTCTTTTAGAAATCTGTTTTCTAGCTACTTGGGATATAACCTTGCAAATATTCTTTGCTCACAGCTTCTCCTGGTTTCAATAGAGCTTCTGTGCACAAAACAATTGCAGGGCTGGGTTCTTCCTGCAAGCTATTTTCCTAGGTCCTTCCACAGGCTGAGGAGAAGGGTTTCTATTTAAATAGAGAAGGGAGAGTCCTTCAGTCTGCCATGGTAGGATTTCACAATTAATGACTCCTTACTTAAATAAAAAGTGTTTGGTGGTTTATTTCACACCCTGTAAAGGCTTCTTCAGCAGAACAGGTACAAAGCAAGACCATTTACCTTAAGTTTTGTTTTGTGTAGTGTTTATGTCCTAGGATTTGGGATAGTATTTTTTCCCAGAATCATTTCCTATCTGGGTATAAAACAACAGGTAATGATTCAGCAAATCATGTAGCATCTGCTATTTTTAATCAGCTGGTAGAGCTGGACCTAACCTGGATAATGTAGAGTTAAGAAATGAAACAGACTTTTGTTTCTGCTAAAACTTCACATGCTATTAAGATTTCATTTGTTCAATTCCTGTCTGGATTGCACCTGCCTAAATTTCCAGTATTTGCTTTCATAAAGGGCACTGGCCTGGTTTCAGGCTCATGAGTTTCCTAGCAATTTAACTCACAGTTCCACCGGCTGGACTATCCTCTCATTGCCACTTGGGAAACCAAGCAGCAATCCTGCTGGAGTCAATATAAATGTGTACAGCACTCTAAAACAGCAGGAGACAGTTTCAGGATCCTAGCCACAAACCTCCAATAGGCATATTAATTAGTACAAAACATACAGCTGCAGCAGCAATGTAATTGTCATTCCAAATCTATAAACACTTTGTTGAAGCTGAACTTGCCTTATTCTTTTGAAAATCCAAATATATGACCTGACCTTCAACTCCAATTACATGTCCCCTACTGTGTCTCAGAATTACACGTTAGCCTCAGTTTTGCAACAATGCTAATTAACACAAACCTTCAAATAATTGCACTGTAAATTAGTACACTTCTTAAATCACATGGAAAATTATTTCACTGAATTTACTGGAAAGTAAAAAGTGTGATAGGCCCTAAAAAGCTGCTGTTCTCCAAGCTCCCTGCCTCTTCCAGTATTTAAAGTTTTTTTTCAGAAGAATGTGAAAAAAGAAAAGAGCACCTCTCTGTTTTTTCCTGACAAACAGCAACAAAAAGCTTTCACAGAGGCAGCAGAGCCATTAGAGCCATTTTGTAACACTGGGACACCAAGAGTCACAACCCAAATGGATCCTCCAGAGACAACTATATAAACCCCTAAGTGGTTCTGGAAGGAGAAAAGAGCTGGGGCAAGTCCTGAAGAGTCTCATAGTCATTGAGAGAGCACAAACTTCCAACCTCTGAAGCTCCAAAGTTTTTTTGGACCCTGTGAGGCCAACCTGCTCCTCCAGGCTTGTCCAGTCCCAAGGAGGCTGGAACTCAGCAGTGGACTCAATGTTGTGCCTGGAAGCACCATTTTAAACGGAGCTCCTCACTGTAAGTGGTCATGTTCCATGGAACACTTGGCCGTGCTTTTGAAAGGATTCCTCCTAGGTTGTAGCAGAATCCCACGTGCCTCCTGCCTCCTGTGTTATCACTGCACCCTTCTGCTCTGTGGCTCTGGGAAAAGCCGGAGTCCTCATTTGCCACAGAGAAGAAGAGAAAATGCTTTCCATATGCTGTACAGACTGCCACGCTGTAGGATGCTCTCCAACTGTTGGCACTTCCACTTAGAGCTCTTTAGAAAAGGCAGATGCTCTAATGACACCTCATTTGAGGAAGAGTAACAGTGCAAATGCATCCTTGAAAGCTGTGCATAGTGCTGCATCATGCCAAGGCTTGATGCAATCACTTTGCATTTCTTTTCACACCACTATCACAGGCCAGAAGAACACGGGTAGTGCTGTTTATGAGAAAGGCAACTTTTGGTCCTCAAAAAATTACTTCTGCTATGTCCGAGTACAGCATCCAAGCACAAAAATCCTTGGAGCTGATGACTGTCTGTACATGTAAATAAAACAGACCAGGACCAATTCTTTGGCCCTGAGGGTCAGCAGTGCCACGCAATGCCCAGCCCCACAGCTCACCTCTCTTTTGGCAGAAACAGGGTATCCTCATCCACACAGCGTGTAGGGCAGGGTCCCTGGACTGTGCCCTGTGCAGCCCCATGCTGGGGCAGTGTCTGGCCATGTGCTACTGGGCACAGACTAGATATGTGCCAGACAATGTGCCAATGAGCCACCTCTTTTCTGGTTCACCGATGTCTGAGCTCAAGTGCTGGGCCTCCTGAAGCTCCTACAGGCAAGGCTGCCAGGGGCTTCTCAGCAACCAGAAACTGATCTCTTTGCATGATTTGAGGCAAACCTAAGCTTCTGAACAGACTGCATTAACTCAGGCATTTTTAATGAATGCCGGAGCCAATCACACATATGTTCCTCTATTTATAACTGTGTGGCATTTTTTAGAATGGTCTTATGACACAAAGTAAAATTAAGGTTTCTGAACTGTAATTATTGGAGAACCCATAGTCTGTTACTGAATTACATGGCAAGTGCTACTTGGGTTGCTATCAAAAAAACAAACAGAACTTTACTAAATATTCACTAGATTTTGTAAAACTTGAAAAAATACATATCCTGATTTCTAACAGACAAGAGCAACACTTTCATCCATCCCTCCTTTACTTACATTACGGCTGTGGTAACTGTTGTTTGTCTATTTTGAATATGAGAAAGATCTTGCCCTAACTATAGACGCAGTTGTATAGGGACCAGCAGTTGTGACCTGTCAGACACTGCCAATGCTGGAAGCTGTTGTCTCTGCCTCCCTGATTTAATTAATCCTTCTTATTTTAGTTCCAATGCTGCAAAGCTTTACAACTCAAAAACATGATGATGTGGACATCAGCAGGTGCCTTCAGCCAAGCAGGAGGCACTGAGATGGGTAAGGACTGGCCCAGCACAGACCATGGCTCAGCTTCAGGGGCAGTTCAAGCCATTCCCACAAAGCAGCCAGAGGCCTTCTCTGGTCCGAATGTAAAGCTGCAGGGATAGAGAAAACCTCATGTTATGTGATTTAAAACTACACTACGCAAAAAAGCCCCTGATTCTCATCTCCGGCTTTCATCAGTGAAGGACTTGACGCAATAATTTTAACCACAAGAGTTTTTACTTCTAAACAGCTTTAGATACAAAGTGTAGGTTATCAGAGGGGTTGAATCTTGTCTGTCAATCTGGCACTTTTTACAAACATGACATTCACTTAAAATAAATGGAGGGGATTAAGTTCCATGACCCATGTATACTGGATGAATTATTCATCCTGCAGTATTTCAATCAGAGGAAATGAGTACCAAAATCTAAACATTCATAATTAGGAGTACAAGAACCCCATGGTGTTTATGGATTTTTAAAACCCTTAGAACTTGTTTTAAGTGCAGAGCTTCTCGAAAGTGGTTTTTAAGGTTTATAATTATTTTTTTTATTTAAACCATTGCTTTTCAAGGGAAATCTAATTTTTTTTAGGCAAACAAACATACATGTCATTCTAACTGAAAAAGAACCTCTGTTGTTTAAGTGATAAGCGTTCCTGATTGAAAGCACTTACTGTCCGGCTTCTACAAAGACCAGAGGAAAACATTTGCTCTCAGTTGTTGCTTCTATCAGTGTTTTCAGACAACTGATGGAATGAGTATTTCCAAATCTCAGAGCTATACACATGACCTCCCACCAATTCACAAATTCAGTTAGACATGTTCTTGCAAAGATATCTGCAAAACAACAAGAGTAGGGTCAGGATCACAAGCTGGGTCTCGTGTCTCTCTGCTGAGTTACTGCTGATCTGCATCAGTGCCAGCAAAAGGAAGCTCCAGACCAGAATTCAAAGCCAAGGTGAACATAAACCAGAGGTAACCCACACACACAGCTTGATGGCTGTTAGGAGGGTTATGCTGGTATAATGCATCATACAGCTTCAGCCTCCTCTCTCCTGCATGGTGAGAAGACAGCGCACCAGCTTTCCAGACAAACTTCCCAATCAATCCATGTCAAAAAAACTACCTAACCTTTTTTTTTTTTTTTTTTTTCTGTCTTGGTCTTGTTAGTAGTAGCAAAACTAAGAACCTAGATTCCACTTTCAGAGGTTGTGGTATAAATCCACATTCTATA